CAGGGATCACGGCATCCTCCCGTGCTTCCTCCCCGAGGAGGGCTTCTCCTGCCCATGGCCGGGTTTTTAGGGAGGTACAAACATCATCCCCCCATCTTCCATCTGCGCCTCCACCCTCGCTGCCCTGCCCCAGGCACTGCTGGCCCTGCTGCTCGGGTTCATACATCCGCGCCGCTTTTGCTGTTACACTAATTGCTCGGGATCAATTATTCATTGTGCAGTAATGAAGCAGGGTGAGGGTAGGAAACCTGGCTGTGCAGCGGGCCCCGGGCTCTGGCCGGCCTCGCAGAGGGTGAGGAGCAGAGCTCGGGGAATGCTCCTCATGAGCACTTTCACAATGACTCCCATGAAGATTTTCTCAAGTTTTGGTAGTTCTGCTTTGCATTTCTGGCTTTGCTTTCTTCCCCTCAGTCCCGTGCTGTGCTTTAGACGCTGTTCCCTGTAGCTGTGAGCTTCCTTGGTTCTTAGTTGTCACTTTGAAATCCTGAGGTGCTCAACAGCCTTTCACAGTTAAAAGTTTCCGATCTGCTGGATCTGGGCACAGTTTGTCCCATGCTAAGAACCCAAATTATAAAATATTTCCCTTCTGCTTTAGGAAAGAACTGTTTTGGAAAGGTTGAGTTTCCCTGGATGATGTAGGTGCTCTTTTTTGTATAATCTGCAATCCAGTTGATGTGGGGTGGGATATTGCCTCCAGCACAGGGAACCCCCTGCTGTCTGTGTCTCTCCCAAAATAACCTTGGTGTCATTCCCATGGAGTTAAATGATTTTGGGGACAGCTGAGGCATCTCAGAGCAAAGGTTTTTGAAGGGCAGCAGGAGCTATGAGGCACAGGGAGGATGGATCTGCCGTGGTCAGGGACAGCCACAAGATCAGCTCTTCCTGCAGTCTATTCACTCCTCCTGGGTGAGAGCACAGCTGGAGCAGCACATCCCTTGCTCTCCTGCTCACATCTGTGTCCAGCAGCCTGCAGGGACTTCTCTGCTTTTCCCAATCCCTGTTTTTTTCTGAGGAAGTACCTGGGTACAGGGCAGCTCTCTGAACTGTGTTTTGCCTCCTCTTCCTCAGCATCACAACAAAAGAAAGAAAAACCCTGAGCATCCCCATCAGGAGCCAGGAAAGTCTCAATTAAATATCCCCATGTCCAGGCATTCCTTGAGCCACAGTGGTTCCATGACTGAGAGGAGCAGAGGCTTTGAAATGAGAAGGTGAGAGCTTCAAAAAAACCCCCAAAATTCCTGACCTCCCCTTGCTGGGGATTCCAGGGAATGCCACACGTGACAGCACTTCTGGCAGCAGGAGTGCTGGCAGCTCCAGGGCAAGGGCAGGGCAGGCTTCAGCTCTCAGCTGTGCTGTCTCCATGGCTGGGCTTTTCCCAGCTGGAAGTCTCAGCTGTGGGCCACCAGCAAGGCCACATTATTTAAAGAAGTGCTGGAGAAGTCGAGGTTGTGCTGGCACTCGTTGAAATTTTCTCTGCTGGTGAGCTGGAACAGTCCCGGATGTGAGCAGCAGCTCAGCAAAACCTGCTTGAGGTACAGACAAAGAAGCAGAGGGTTTGCAGTTCTTCTGCCCTGTCTTGGTTTCAATAAAACTTTAAAAACTTGAAAAAATGTAATGTTTGAGATAGTGAGTGATCCTTGATGGCAAAAAGAACCCAAGGTGTGGGTAACAGGTGCAAGGTTTGAGGATGTTGGAGTAGGCAGGGATTTTTTTTGGAGTGTGTTGATATTTGTTTAATGAGGGGGTCATTCTTAGGAACTCTCTTGCTGGGTCTCTGGTCTCAAACCTATCATCCTCCTTCCCTAAAATGAGGTCAGAGAGCCATCCTGGGCTTCAGAGGCAGCTCTTGCTTCTGCTTTCTCTTCCCTTTCTCAGGAAATGCTGCCTTGGCCTCTCAGTCTGAGACAGAAACTGGAAGAATGAAGTGTGAGATCCTCTGGGAGGATGGAATAAATCCCCTCAGCCCCTCGACCTGCCCCGATGGAGACAGGGAAACCCAGGTGCTGGGAATGGCAAAACCACTTTGTTGAGTGCAGGGGAAGATGCAGGTGGTGAAAAAAGGGAAATCTGCACGTGGAGGTCAGGGACACCCACGTGCTGAGAGCAGTGAGACCAAGGCCTTGAGAATGGAGAAATCCAGATGTTGGCTGCTGGCTCCTGAGCTGTTGCTGCTGCAGTGAGGGCATGGAATGTTTTGGGTGGGTCTGTGAGGTGGAAGGACAGCACCTCCTTCAGACAGCACCAGCCCTACCTCCACTGCTGCCTCCTCCAGCAGCCCCTTGGCCACAGGAAGTGGTGAGAAGGTGTCAGCTCCCCTCAGGTACTGGAAAAGCTGCTCACTGGCTCCAGGGAGGCCTCAGAGCCCCTTTCAGGGTCTAAAGGGTCTCTAGGGGAGCTGGAGAGGGAATTTGGACAAGGGCCTGGAGTGACAGGACAAGAGGGAACAGCTTCCCACTGCCAGAGGGCAGGGATGGAGGGGATACTTGGAAGGAATTCCTGGCTGTGAGGGTGGGCAGGCCCTGGCACAGGTGCCCAGAGCAGCTGTGCCTGTCTCTGGACCCCTGGAAGTGTCCAAGGCCAGGTTGGACAGGGCTGGGAGCAGCCTGGAACAGTGGACCCCATGGAAGGGGGTGGGATAAGATGGGTTTTAGGTCCCTCCCAACCCAAACCATCTTGTGAGTCTATGAAACCTGGTCACATCCCCATCCTCGAGGTCCCAAGTCAGATTTGGGCAGCAAGGTGGCCTTGGCTTTGTGCTGATGGAGTCCCTGGTGCCTGCAGGCAGGAGCAGGTCTGTGGGTTGGCAGTGGTGGCATTGCTGCCTCTCCCCAGCCCAGGTGATGCTGGGCAGAGCTCAGCCCTGTGCAGACAGGATTTCACAGCCCTGGTGATGCTCTCAGCCCGACCCTCGCTCACGGTGAGGCTGCTGCTCATCCCCTCCATGCCAGAGAAGAGCAGCAGAGGCTCTGATTGAATTAGTGCAAGGATTTAATTTAATCCCCAAATGTCTCTCATTTTAAAGGAGCCTGTTCATTTCCTTCTAGGACCTTATCAGATGCAGGCACCCAGCACTGTGAGCAGAAGGACTGGGCAGATAGGCAGTGTTGGGGGAGGGCTTTGTGGGGAGTGACTCGAGGGCTGTGTGGGTTTTTCCTCTAATTATTTCATGAGATAATGATGACAGTGATTGCAAGACAAATAAAGCATCAGCAGCACCACTGAGGCACATGCTGGTGCACATGGCAGCCTGGTGGGGCAGGGCTGGGAACATTCCCTTCTCACAAGGAATTGCTGTGTAATTTCACCCCAGGGGTGGGGTGAAAGGAGCATTTGCTTTGTGCCTGACACCAAATCCAGCTGTTTCATGGACACAGCAATGTCATGAAGGGACCAAGCACAACGTGGTCTCTGAATTTTTGTCTTCAGACTCACTGGGGGAGTTCAGGTGATGCTGAATTGCTGCTCGGGTGAGCCAGGCTGAGTGGGACAGGGCTGGTGCTCTCTGTGCTACAGGTGACTCCAGGACCCTTTGGTGTGATAAAAACCAGCACAAGGCACAGCTGGACACATGTGGGCTCCTGCCCAGCTGGCTGTGGCACTGAGTGGCAGCATCTTCCTGGACACCTGCCCAGCTCAGGCAGGTGCTGCTGGGGGTGTCTGTGCTGTCCCCTGTGTGCACAGGGGGCTCACACCCCCCGAGGTGTTTCCTGGAGGTGACAGCAGCTTCTGCAGCCCAACATCTGCACACAGCTGCCTGGAGATGTCCAGGGGGTGGTTATCACCTCTGTGCTCTGGGAATGAGGGGTGTCCAGCAGCAGGGTGGCTCTCCCAGAGGTGCTGTCACAGGCTGGGATCTCCATGGATCCCCATGGATAACCTCTGTCCACTCTGTGGGTGCCTCTTCCCAATGGGATGTGAGGCTGGATGGGTTGACTCCTGGGGCTGCTACTCTTTTTGAAGCTGAATCAATTTATACAGAGGTGATGTCTTTGTTAACTCCAGCTCTCTGGTTGTCACTGGGTTTGTGAAAATGCTTGGATTTCAGCTGGGGATACAGTGACTTCTTTTCTGGGTGACTTGTTAGCTGGGGGTGGTCCTGTGGAATAGTCCCTGCCCCGGGATATGTGTAGGAAGGAATTGCTTCCTAAAGAGAGGATTTTCTCTCCTTTGGTCTTTTTTTCCTCCACTGGGCTGGTTTTGCCCCTTTGGCTTAGACAGAAAAATCACACTGGCTCTGCTCTGGCAAGGGAGGGCTCATTGCAGGCTCCCCCTGCTCACACAAACAACCTTGGAGGTTCTTTCCCTTGGGCTTTTCCCTTTGAAAGGACAGAGCTTGCTCAGGCCTTCCCCAGCCGCAAAGAAACCTGGAAAAACCAGCCCCAAAGGCTTAAAGCCCTGACAGGGGCTGGCAGGAGAGGCTGTGGTTTTGTAGGGCTTGCCCAGAGCCACGGGCTGAGCTGGGGCCATCCAGGGATGGGCAGAGCCCGGCGCTTCCCTTTGGCATTTGTTGACGTGGTGCAGGAGGTGCCAGAGCTGCTGGATGAGCTGCTGGGTGTCTGCAGCCCTTGGGGGAAATCCCTGCAGGGCAGCAGCTCGCAGAGCCATCGGGGTGAGGATGCTGTCACAGCTCTGCCTCTGGGCAGATTCCCCAAACCCCACTGGTGCTGCTGGCTGCTGGAGGGGGCAGCTGAGTGCCACCATCCCACTCCTGCCAGCTGGGGAACCTGGTGTTCCAGGGCTCAGGAGCAGGACTGGGTGCTGACAGCAATGGTTCCAGGGCTCAGGAGCAGGACTGGGTGCTGACAGCAATGGTTAACTTGGTACCACCTGGGGATGTGGGGATGATGCCATCCTACCCCACCAGAGCACTGTTAGCTTTGTACAAATCAGTGCCAGCCGTGTAGGTGGGGTGTGAGGAGGTGAAAGGCTTCCCAGGAAGGTGGCTAGAGAGATTTGGGGTGCTTCTGCTTTCATGCTTCTCATATCTTCTCCTCTGGCAGATGCTGGAGACAGACGCCGAGAAGCCGGGGCAGATGCACTCGGAGGACGGGAAGGCAGCAGTGGGTGATGCCCCTCTGGCTGCCAAGGCAGCGGCTCTGGCCAAGCCCTGGGACACTCTGGGAGCCACCCAGGCTCCTCTCCTGGTGGAAAAGCAGCCGGTGGCCACCACAAAGGGAGAGGAGCAGCCCAGCTCCGTGCCAGCCTTTGTCATCCCCGAGCTGCGGCTGGACAGCACCTTCAGCCAGAGCACGGCGGGCACGGCGGGCAGCGCCACGGACGGCGAGGACGAGGAGGAGGATGAGGAGGAAGATGAGGATGAGGAGGACGAGGAGGAGGAGGAGGACAGCGACGAGCAGTACCTGGACAGGAAGGAGCTGAAGCGCAGCAGCATGATCGAGACGTCGGGCGGGCAGCCCGGCTACACGCTGAGCGTGCAGGGCTCGCTGCGGCGCCGCACGCACAGCGAGGGCAGCCTGCTGCAGGAGGCCAAGGGCCACTGCTTCACCTCCGACACCACCCTCAACTGCTCCGACGGCCAGGGCACCGCCGCACGCTGGGCACTGCCCTCCCCCAGGACCCTCAAGAAAGAGCTCGTCAAAAACGGCGGCTCCATCCACCAGCTGACGCTGCTCTTCTCGGGCCACAGGAAGGTACGTGAGCCACGCTGGCCGCGGGGAGGGGACAGTCCTGGGCTGCAGGTGTCCTGCCACGCGGCCCCTGTGTCCACGACCATGGCAAAGCTCCCTTCTGAGCGCTCAGAGGGTCCCTGCCTGTCGGAATCCATGGTATTGATGATTCTGAGATTGTGGAAAGTCTCTGTCTGTCAGCCCCGCTGCCAAAGCAGAAGCCATAATTGGTCTGTGCTGGTTTCCAGGTTGTTTATTCTGTTGATCTCTCACATGTTCTGCTGCCCTGCCCAGCTCTGTCCTGCAGGGCAGCGTGTGGGGCTCTGCCCTCAGTGGGATGTGACAAACATTAAATACCAGAAACTCCCTGGGCTGGATTTACAATAACGTGCCAATATCTGTCACCTACGTTGGACAGTGTGTCCCCAGCCTGAACCAACAGAAACACTCAGAGCTTGTAATTCATCCTGTGAGATTGAAAACTCTTTTCCATGGCCAGAGATCACAGACAGTGTCTCTGGGGGCTCTGTCCAGGGGGGTTCCTGACCCCTGCCAGGGTCCCAGACCTGCCAGGGCAGCCAGAGGGAAGCCCTGGATTCCCACACCTGCCCCTGGCAGCCGGCTCTGGAGGTGTCAGCACCCCGGGCATGGCACCCAGAGCAGTGTGCTGGGCCATGGGTGGCACTGCCACTGCTGCACCCACGCCCTGCAGGGCCCATGGCCTGGGCAGTGCTGTCTGCTGGGACTGCTGGGGGCAGAGGTGCACCTGGGGATCTGGGTTTGCACAGGGCTGCTCCCAGCAGTGGGGAGAATCCCTGGTGACAGTCCCCAGTGTGCAGGGGGTGCCAGGAGCAGTGTGACCCTCTGCCCCACTGGCCTTCTGCAGGGCTTTGACCACTGTGGGGGTCCATCTCATGGAAAAGCTGTGCTCAGCAGTGATGTGTGACCCCACCATGCCAGAGGAGCAGCAGAGGCTGTGCTGAGGCAGCTCTGCCCAGGACTGGCCTGTGCAATCCTGGGGCTCTGGGGTGCTCCCTGAGCCCCCAGAGCAGAGCTGGCCCTGGCTGCATGGTGCAGGAAGGAGCTGCCAGTGCAGAGATCATTCATGGAAGTGCTGCTGTTCCCATCGTCCCCAGGTGGCACTGGCAGGGTGCTGAGAGTGGCCCCTGGCCCCATACCCTGCTCTGCCCCATCCTCAGCTCTGGGTGCTTCTCGGGGCTCTGGTGCTCGGCACAGGGCTGCAGTGCAGTGCTCAGGGTCGTGTTCCCAGCTCAGAACCTCGTTTCACAGCTCAGGACCATGTCCTGCTGCTTGGCACCACCTTACAGGGCCACATTCTGCTCCAGAGCAATGAGCTCCTTGGCAGGAGGGGATGCTGCAGACCCTGGGATTAAACCCATGCTGGGGTTAAACCTATGCTGGGTTAACCCTTCTCCTGCCACGCTGCTTGAAAAGCCATCCTGATGCTGTTTCCTGGAGGAATTTTTGGGCTCAGAGTCGCTGACCAGCTGGTGAGAACCCTTCCCAGGGTTACACACTGCTGGGATGGGGCTGCAGTCTGCAGGGGAGTCCAAACTTGGAGACTGAGGCCAACAATTGCACGCAGGAGATGGAGGGTTCAGTGCTCTTTCCCTGATAAAGAAAAGCCACCCTTGTGTCAGGGACACGTGCGAGGGAGGCGGTGACAGCCTCAGCGCCGGCTGAGAGTGTCCCGTGAGCCGTGCCCTGAAGGAGAGCTCACAGTGCCGCTGTGTGTGCAGCCCCGAGCCTGCAGCCCTGCAGCCCTGAGCCTTCAGCCCCGAGCCTGCAGCCCTGCAGCCCTGAGCCTTCAGCCCTGCAGCCCTGCAGCCCTGCAGCCCTGCAGCCCTGCAGCCCTGAGCCTGCAGCCCTGCAGGCTTGCAGCCCTGCAGCCCTGAGCCTGCAGCCCTGCAGCCCTGCAGCCCTGCAGCCCTGCAGCCCTGAGCCTGCAGCCCTGAGCCTTCAGCCCTGCAGCCCTGAGCCTTCAGCCCTGCAGCCCTGCAGCCCTGCAGCCCCGAGCCTGCAGCCCTGCAGCCCTGCAGCCCTGCAGCCCTGCAGCCCTGAGCCTGCAGCCCTGCAGCCCTGCAGCCCTGCAGCCCTGAGCCTTCAGCCCCGAGCCTGCAGCCCTGCAGCCCCGAGCCTGCAGCCCTGCAGCCCTGCAGCCCTGCAGCCCTGCAGCCCCGAGCCTGCAGCCCCGCAGCCCTGCAGCCCTGCAGCCCTGCAGCCCCGAGCCTGCAGCCCTGCAGCCCCGCAGCCCCGAGCCTTCAGCCCTGAGCCTGCAGCCCTGCAGCCCTGCAGCCCTGCAGCCCTGCAGCCCTGCAGCCCTGCAGCCGGGTGGGCTGTGTGTCCCTGCCGGGCACCCCGGATCCTGCTCCCCCTGCCCCGGGAGCCGCCAGCTGCGCTTCCTGCTCTCATCGGGGGGGATGTTTTCCCGCAGAGGTGAACGGAGCTCCTCCTGCATTGAACTGCTCTGGTGCACATTAGCCTGGGATTTTTGGGGCAGGCATTGGGCAGCCTCTGCCGGTGGAGAGTGCAGTGTGGTGGCTGCACCTCCAGCAGCTCCCAGTTCCAAGCCTGCAGCAGCTCTGGCTGCCTGGAGCCTGAATCCCTGCCCACGAGTTCTCCTGGGCACCCCTGCCTGTTCCTACTGCCCTGCTCCCTGCTCCCATCACCCTGCTCCCACCACCCCATTCCCACTGCTCTGCTCCCATTGCCCTGTTCCCACTGCTCTGATCCCATTGCCCTGCTCCCTGTTCCCACTGCCCTGCTCTCACTGTCCTATTCCCATTGCCCTATTCCCACTGCCCTGTTCCCATTGCCCTGCTCCCTGTTCCCACTGCCCCATTCCCACCACCCCATTCCCACTGCTCTGCTCCCACCACCCCATTCCCACTGCTCTGCTCCCACCACCCCATTCCCACTGCTCTGCTCCCATTGCCCTGTTCCCACTGCCCCATTCCCACCACCCCATTCCCACTGCTCTGCTCCCACCACCCCATTCCCCCTGCTCTGCTCCCACCAGCCCATTCCCACCACCCCATTCCCAGTGCCCTGCAGCCATTGCCCTGTCCCCACTGCCCCATTCCCACCGTGCTCCCATTGTCCCATTCCCCTTGCCCTGCCTCTCCAGCTGCCTGTGGAGGGTGTGCAGCAGTCAGGGAAGCCAGACACGGGGCTGAATCACTGTGGGATTGGGCTGCTGCCACCCCCTGCCTACACTTTGGAAGCACTTTTACTGGTCTGTGCCCTTGAATAGCTCAATGAAACCTCGGAGATTTTTGGAGCAGGACACTGAAGCACAATTCCCATAGGGAATTCCCCCATCAGGCTATCGAGCACTGGCAACACCTGCACCCGGCGGCCTCGGCTGCAGGGCCATCACATCCATCAACGTTCTTGGTTGTTTTCCCATCTGGGAGTGTTTCAGAGGGGCTCATTCCACAGCCTCTTTTAACACCGCCGTGCCCGGTGTGCCTCCCCGTTCCCCCTTCCCGCGGTGGCGCTGGGGGCTGGTTGTGTTTCGGGGCACGGTGGCGAGCGCTGGGATCCCCGGGAGAGCTCTGCCGCTGCCTGCTGTCCCCGAGCACGGAGCCTCTCCACAATGGCAGGAAGCCCCGGCCAGCCCGTCTGCCGGCCCGGGGCGGCCCGGGGAAGGTGCTCGGCGAGGGCCGCATTGTTCGGGGCCGATAAACTCCGGAAAGCCGGGCGCAGAATGGAAGGAAGTGTCCGGAACCCCGGGCCCGGGGCTGAGCGCAGGGTTCCCACGGCCCGGCGCGGGGTGATGATCCCGGGAAGCGCCTGGCAGCCCCGGGAGCCGGGATGAGCCGGCGGTGCTGCGGGCCGGGATGCGGGGCTGGCCCTGAGCATCTGCAGGTGCAGGGATGGATGGAATGCTAAAGCCCCCGAGCTGCGGTGATCCCGCGGGTCTCCCTGCCTGCTGCCAGGCTTTGTGCCTCAGAGGCTGTGCAGGGGCTGCCCTGAGCCCATGGCACATCCCAGATCCCCTTGGTTTGTCCAGGTTGCCCTGGAGCAGTGGTCAGAGAGCAGACTTGTAAACTGCAATGATATGATTCAATTATAGGTGAACTGCTCTGATTTCTTGTGCTTTCTTGGGACTGCTGGGAACTCGTGATTGATTTTGGGTGCCCAGCCTAGTTCTGGGGGGCTCTTTGGGCAGTGGCAGGATCCCTGTGCCCACTCAGCGGCAGGAGTAGGAGCATCAGGAGTGGGGATGTGAATGTCCTCCCTGTAAGAGGTTCCACTGTCAGCACCTCAAACCTGGAGGGTACCTGGGCACTTCCCTGGAGTCTCCTTGGATGCTCCAGGAGCTCCATGGGCTGAAGGTGGCAGAGGATGAGTGAGGGCAGGGAGGTTCCTGTGTCAGGAGCTTGTCCCATGTTGCTGCCATCATGAGGAAGGGGCCCTATGGGTGCTGTGGGTCTGGGCTGTCTGCTGTGTGGATGTGGGCACGTCCTGGTGTGATGACAGACACTGTTTTTCTGTTCCCCCCAGCTGAGTGGAGCAGACCCTGAGTGCAGCTGTGATGAAGGGGACGAGACCTCCCGCAAGAAGCGCAGCAGGAGCCTGTAAGTGTCACATCAGGGATGGCATCAGGGAGTGCCAGGGCTGTTTGTGGGGCCAGACACCTCAGCCTAGCCCTGCTGGTACCAGGAGCCCTCAGGATCCCCATCTTCCCCCTGACTTTTTCCAGCAGCAAAGCCATGAACTGGGTTCTCACTTCAGCTGGAATTGTTTCCAGGGAGGGTGGTGGGGTGTTCTGGGGGCACTGCCCAGCCCAGCTGGGAGCACCCCCTTCCACCGTGCCCAGACAGGGTGAAGACACCGGCTCTTGGGAAAAACAGCTTGCCCGGGTTCAGGGAGAGGACATGGAAGCAGTGAAATCTGAGCTGGGGGCCTCCTTCCCGCTGGCCCCATGCCGGGAGGAGGATTGGGGAGGTGGAATGGGGAGGTTTCGCACCGCGGGTCAGGCTCAGCCTCAGCACATCCGCGGCAGCGCGGTGGGAGCGGGGACCGCGGGGACCTCCGGGGACACCGGCAGCTCTCTGCTGCTCCCGGTAAGGCTTTGGGGTGCCAAAAAGCGCGTGCAAGCAAGGACAAGGCAGCCGTGGCCTTTGCTGTCCTCAAACGCAGCTGCAGCAGAGGAGGGGCAGGCGCACGAGTGAGGATGTTCGGGAGCGAGCTCCTCCGGAGCGCGGACCCGGCCGGTGCCAGGGCCGCGGGGGATGCCCGTGGCTGCGTGCCCGTGCCCCGCAGATGCCGCGTGTGCCGGGCAGGTGGAGGAGCCACACGTGCTTGGGGTGCTCAGGGTGCAGGGGGCTGCGCCCGCCGCTGCCCGGCCTGGCCGGCTGTGCCAGCGAGCGGCACTGTCGGCCCGCGCCGCCTCGTCGCTGCCGCCTATTTTTAGCTCTCTTTATTACTTCCCCCCCAGCCCTCGAAATGCAAACGAAGCCCTCGCGGCAGGGACGTCCCCCCGGCCGCGTGGCAGCGCCGGGGGAGCGGGGCCGGGGGGAGGCTGGCCCGCCGGGCCGGGGCGGTGCGGAGCGGGCTCCGCGCTCACCTGGAGCCGAGGGATGCTCCGGGGAGCCCCGGCAGCGCCATTGGCTGCGCGCCGCGCTCCCGCCCGGCTCCGGGACTATTTATGGGCCGGGGGCGCGGGCCGCCACTCGCTCCTCGCCCGGCACACGCTGCCGGCCTCGATGTACCACGCCATGGTGGACTTCTCCGAAAAATACCTGGAAAGGTAGGACACCCAGCATCCTGCCAGGAAGGGGGATGTGCTGCCCAGGGGATGGTTTGGAAGCAGCGCGGGGTGATGTCGCTGGGCCTCGTGGCCATGCTGGGGTGCTGGGGCAGATCGCTTGATAGAGGCAACTCCGGAGTGAAATCAGTAATTATTTTGTGGAATTATTTTTGCTGTGGCATTTAGTGTGCCGTGTGGCCGCAGCTGGGAGCTGTGCCTGCCCATGGCTGTCACAGCCTGGGTTGGTGCTGCTCCTTCTTTGCAAGGGTGTGCAAGAGCAGCAGCATGTGGAAGTTGGGGAGCTTCCTTAGAAGGTGTTTGCCTGGTGTGGGCTAGCTGGAAAATCCACCCAGGAGCCAGGATCACCTGCCTGGTGTGTTCCAGCTGGCCGGGTGCCGAGGGCTGTGCTGTGGAGGCGACCCTCCTGTGTCACACAAGGGGTGTTCAGTGCTCTGCCAGCCCTGCCAGGTGCCGACTGCTGCCCTGCTAAATTTGGAACATTGCTGAAATTGCTGCTCGAGGCTGTGAGGGATGGCTCGTCCCGTGTGCTGGCGGCTCCCCGGCTGCCGGCGGCGCTGGTGGCACAGCGATGGGAGGCAGATGGTGTTTGGATCTTGGGGCTCCGTGTTTGGATCTGCTTTTCCCACATTAGCAGGTGCCTGGTAGCAGCGGGATGTGTGTCCTGCTGGGATCACAGCCCAGGGGGTGTGAAAGCAGTGAAATTGTCCATGTCCATGAGGGTATGGATGGCACCAGGGACTGGGGGGAGCAATTGCCCTCTACAATCATTCTGGATTGTAGCCTGGACTGAGCCCTGGGGTTGTTGCACTTCTTTTATTTTTCCCAGTGGTTGCTGCGTTTTACCCTCCTGGGATTGGAGAGAGCTGTGGGTCTGGAGAACATCACCTGGGGTGGGGTGGTGCATCCGGGTCCTGAATCCCTCCTGTACCCCTCGTGTCCCTGGGCATGGCTTGGCCAGGTAGAGGTGGCATCTCTGAGCATCCTTACTGTGGCAGATCGTGTAACATTAAATTTGCAGAATCAGAATTTGCAGATTCAGAAAGAGCAAGAAGTGAAAATTGAAGCTGCTTGCCTAATGAGATGGTGTCAGATAAGGAGCTTTAGATTTAGAGGGCAGAGTCCATGTGTGTTGAGAAAAGGCTGATGCTCTTAAGTTTTGATGAATACATTATATTCACAGGCAGTGAAACACTGTCTATGTGCCCTTCATGATGAGATCGAGGAGAGGTATTTTAAATGGAAGAAATTAAAAACACAGATGGAAGCTGTAATTCTTTCCAGTTATAAGGGTTCCAGCCACATGTAATTAAGATAGCATTATCCTTGCTTTTTAATGAGTATCACTGATCAGTACCACTAGGAGAAAGCTACCAGCAAAGGGAGTGAGAAGCAAGGCCCTAGCGCTAAAACTTGTAATTGTTTTTGGGGTTTTGGGACGGTTTTTGGTCCCCGCGGTGTCCGGGTGCAGTGACCGCGCGGTGCCGCGCGGGGGCAGCACCGCCCGCCCCATCCCTGCCCGGGGGGGGGGCTCCTTTTCCCACGGCGCTTCCCAAAAATCTGTACAACTTTGTGTCACTGGCAGCTCCCTGGAGCAACCGCGAGCCCGTGTGTCCGTTAGTCTGTCTGCCCAGGGATGCTGGAGCGAGGGGACGCGTGTGCGGGTGACAGAATGGGATGTCTTTGCCGCAGCGCCCTGCGCTGCCAATGCCGGCCACCCCGTTACGGAAATGTCCCCAAGCCGTGCCCCACACGGGCTGGCACCGCGGTCGTGTGAACACCCGCGGAGTGTGCACTGTGGGCGCCCACGCAGGGGGGACACGGGGCAGCGCAGTCCCCGCTCTGCCCCTCGGCCCGCTCCGCCCCGCCGCCGGCCCCGCTGCTTTCCCGGGATGCCTGCGCTCTATAAATAGCCCTCGTAAATCCTCGCCGTGATTATTTCCCCCCGCCGTCTCTTGAAAGGCCCCACTATCCGCCTCGGCGCTGATTTTTCCACCTTTCCTCAAGTTTCCCCAGCAACAGCAGAGCCGTCCCAAACAGCGGCGGGGCTGGCACAGCCTTTACTCACTCGCACGCTGCGGGCCGCCCCACGCCGCGTTATTAAAGCTCTCGGCGCTGAGCCCTCCCACTTCCCGAGCCGCGCCGGCCGCTGCGGCGGGAGCGCGCCTGGGGGCGGGCGGCAGAGCGCCCGAGCGGCCCGGCTGTGCTGGGGCTGTCCTCTGTGCTGGGGCTGTCCGCTGTGCTGGGGCTGTCCTCTGTGCTGGGGCTGTCCTCTCCGTTCGGGGCTGTCCTCTCCTCTCGGGGCTATCCTCTCCTCTCGGGGCTGTCCTCTGTGCTGGGGCTGTCCGCTGTGCTGGGGCTGTCCTCTCCGTTCGGGGCTGTCCTCTCCGTTCGGGGCTGTCCTCTCCTCTCGGGGCTGTCCGCTGTTCTCGGGCTGTCCTCTCCTCTCGGGGCTGTCCGCTGTGCTCGGGGCCGCCCGCTCCGTTCGGACTCTCCTTTCTGCTCGGGGCTCTCGGCTGTTCTCGGGGCTCTCGGCTGTTCTCGGGGCTCTCCGCTGTTCTCGGGGCTCTCCGCTGTTCTCGGGCTGCTCGCTCCGCTCGGGGCCGCCCGCTCCGCTCGGGGCCGCCCGCTCCGCTCGGGCTGTCCCCGCTGCCATGCCCTTTTTCCGCGACCTGTCCAAGCCGCAGCCGCTGG